AATGTACACCTTGATGGCTTGAGGTGATTACCACAAAGGGAAATTACTGTGAGAATTCATTAATAACACAGGAAGCCATTATTTTTCATTGAAGATTGAGTGTCCTTTAGGAAAAGCAGAGGTCTGTGAAACAAGACACAGGTGAGATCATGTGCTTGCCTTTCTCTCTTAGATAAGACCATGGAAATTGTAGCAAACAATGCAAGCTTTGTGACAGCCTGCTGAAGGCAAGTATCATTGCCCTAAYGGACTACAAATATAGTAGACAGATGGTATGAACTACTTAATTGTTCCAGTGACCTTGGAATAAAATAATTTGTATATCAAGTGGCAGTCCTGGCTATAAAACTCCTCAAGGAGAAGTACTGAGCTGAGCTTTTTTACGCACATTATTTCTTTGTGTGAAGGTGGAAGAAGATGGTGGAGATGCAGTGGCTTTCCTGCTGCCTCAGGACAGGGCAATGACATCATCTTTTTCCATTTTTTGTTTCCTATCCATCTTGGTCCTATCAGTACCGGAGAGCTGATATAACGCTTTATTTTCCTCTTTTTCTCCTTGCCAGATGCTGAGTGTTATTTGTTGTCCTGTGGCCTGATATGTTCTCTACTCTGCTACTGCTATTCCACACAGGACAAGATGTCCTGGTGGAGGCCCATGTGGCAGTGGGAAATTGGGGATTTGCACTTACCAGCTGCTATATCCAGCACAAGCATGGACAAGGTTCTCATATATAAATCAAGGACAAGAAGTGAAAAAAAAGAAAGTATTTTTCTTCAAAAAAAAAAAAGACCAGATACAATACATAGCCTTGATCTTGTTTGCCCCATCATACTTCTGATGCACAAAGCATGCTCAGAATGTCCTCAGATAAGACAGTCATCCTAGCTTGTGCTATTTAAGTTAGCAATCAATAAATGTAAACCAATTCAGGATTTCACCAGGAATACAGTTCTGGCATTTATCACAGAGCACTACTGGGATAACACAGCTGGGATGCCGTTATTATCACTTCTTTCAGATATGTGTCCCAAACAAAGTGTGCTGAGGGAATACTAGGGAGTTGGGAGTCTATATTTCAAGAAAAATAAAAAAGAACGGGTGGAATTCTACCAGCAGAAACTGCTACATAAACACAAAGACTTGTAAAGTAGCTCTCTCTTAAGACAATGAAAGGATAAAAAGATATTTTGAAGCTTCTTTATTTATTTTCTGTCCCATTTCTACTAAGAACTATTTTTCTAGGGTGCAACTAAGGTGCAACTTTTATTCTTTAACATAGATTATTGGAAATATAAATTTAAATATGGAGAGCCAATCTAGAATTACATGAAGGTACTCCAGAGTACAATATAATTTAAAAAATTAAGAATGGGAAGAGTCATCTAAATCTATCCTGCTGCCAATGAAGCATAGATCCCTACAGTATCTTTACAAGTTTTTAGCACCTTGGCTTTGTGCCTCATGTGCACCAGAGACACACATTTAGGTCAATAACACATCCCTTGTCATGGCTTAATATCATAAGAATTAATTTATCACTAATTATTTCTTATTTTAAAGCCCTGCTCTTTCAAAAACTGTGACATAATTCTTAAAAAATTATACTAGCTGAAGAGTAGAAGAAATACACTGTTTCCCCCATCTCCCTGCATGTAAGGACAGATCTTCAAGTATGCTCTACTTCTTCCAATTGAATTTTAACTCTCACAGTTGACAGACCATCCCTTTCTCCTTAGTATCCAACAGATTCTTTCAGCAGGCTGGCAGAGAAAATGCCATGATTATGAGGGGGTGCTGGTGGGGAATTACTTGACTTCTCTTGCTACTCCTGGTTGGGCATCCCCAGATTACCCTCTAGAAGAACTTTCTTTATGTTTATCCTCTTAAAACTGGAAAAAGTGCAATCATGAACGCTAGGATTGAATCCTGACCAAAGAAGGCCTGACAAAGTAAAAATGAAGTCTCAGCTTAACTGAAATCCAAGAAGACATGATGTCATTTTAAATAATTCTTAGTCTCTTTTACGTACGTACATAAAATCATAGAATCATTATGGTTGGAGAAGACCTTCAAGATCACTGAGTCCAACCATAAGCCCCTCAACACCAGGCCTGTTAAACCATGTCCCCTAGTGCCTCATCTACATGTTTCTTGAACACTGCCAAGAATGCTGACTCCACCACTACCCTGGGCAGCCTGTTCCTGTGCTTGAATGTACACAGTCTCAGAGTAATTCATGTATTCAATTTCAGTGTAAGTGATTTCACCTTTTGCAGTTGAACTCCAGCCTTTTGTACCCTACATTTCTTCTGTAAGAAGTCACAGTTTCTGCTCTTCTATTAGAACTGTATAACTGGCATCCTAAATAAAGCACAAAAGAAAGGCAATATGAAGTTACTGGATACTTTATTTTAATGCAGCACCCAGTTTCATATCACATACATAAACAGTTTGCAACTGTGAAAACAAATTGCTTAGAACTTTCTATATACTTTTTAAGTTAAAATTCAAATATTAGTAGCCCCAGGGTACTTTTTCTTAGATTAAGAAGGATAATGCTTGCAATACCATTTTTTATATAAAAAAATCAATATCAGAGTAAAATGTAACACATATGTTCATAGCACATTATCATGAAGATAACCAAACACAGCTTAAAAATACATATTTTTTCTTATGGGTATTATATCATTTGGAATTTATTTCCCTGAAAAAGTACTTTTCTTCACTTTAGTCAAAAAATATGCGACTTCATTAGGACCTCTTTTCTTTCTGACTTTCCTAACACTATGTATCTGCTTGTGAAGGACTGTGTGTGCTGAAYGCTAAAGATTTGATGGTAGTGTGGAAAACTGAGCCTCCTCATACTCAGGCTAGGAACTTTTCCAACTCTCCCAGGCTGGCAGTTCAGCTGTGGGAAAAGCAGCTCATTCAGGGAGCAGCACCAGGGAAAGGTAATTTCCATATTATGTCAATCCTAAAAGCTTTCGGTGAAGAGCTCTGAGTGCCAGTCATCCCTTTGGGGCTCTTTTACAACACAAACCATCCTCTCCCTGTGCTGGGCAGCCTTGATAGCATCTCACTCTTAATATCTGGATGACAGGTGAACAAGGTCCTCTCCCTGATGTAGCAAAAGAATTCCCAGCAGCACAGAATAAAAATAGTTTGGATATAATCTTTTGAGTTAAAAGGGTATTTGTCAACATACTGTTATATCCACCAGTGACTGACATTTTTGCTATGTCAGCCATGTGAAAGCTCTCTGGAAAGAGATGATACCATTTCCACTGCACCCCAGTATTAATTTAATGATCAACATTCTTCTTTTTAATTCTTAAGGGTCGCTGTTGGTAACAAGCAGTTTGTTTAAATTGATGTTTCTGAAATGGAAACTGTTCACCTTGCTTAATACCAGGTCTTTACATTTAAAAGCTTAATTATTTGAGCTTGATCTACAGAGGGAAAAATCACAACATTTAGTTGAACATTCTACTTTTCTCACCTGTGAATTACCATGTATTGAAACAAATATTTCACTGCAAGGTGTTAGGTGTTAGGTAACATTATGGAGTCCAACAAGAAATGCATGTTCAAAAGAACAAAATACAAGCATACATTTAAAAGCCCCTGTTTTTCCAATGGAAAAATACTTCTTGTGAAATTTGGTGGTACTGGACTTGGGTATGAATTTGAATCAGCCAGGGTATATTAATAGAAGTGACTGGCTACCAGTAGCAGTGTCTGTTAACTTCATTACAACGTCTCCTTTCCCTCTCAAAACAATACCCTTTCACTAAAACAAGAGTCACTTTTTATCTGGAATACCACGACTTCTGAAATACGGAGACCTACAGGATAATAATTTTATGCATCGTATATATAACGCATTACTATCTCTCCTTGAATATTTTGCTTCCTGTATACACACTGAGACCTGATATAAAACAGTATATCATCATCATAGCTGTAGTCACACCGAGCAGAATACAAGACCAGTTAATATTCTACGTTTTGAAGCTGAGTGGAGCATTAGATTGCACTCCTAAAAATGTAACCTCATTGACAGATAAGCAAATTTAAATTTATTAACTCCTTTGGTAGAGTAACAACTGAGTAAATAGTGCATTGATGGTTATCCAGGTATCTTAATTTACAGTGAATAGAGTAAAATTATACTTTACAAGCCAGACAACCAAAAAATACCTATGTGAAATGGACTTTTCAGCTCTTCACACAGAATCACACAGAATGGTTAAGGTTGGAAGGGACCTCTAGAGATCATCTAGTCCAACCTTTCTGAATCTCTTCAGTGACTAACTCAGGTGAAATAAATGGAGGTCCTATTGTTAAGAGGCTTAAAAATGCAACTTACACATTTCTTTGCAATTGTTGAAAAACTTACCTCCAAAATCACAGATAAAAGAAAAAAACAAAGGTGTCACATCATTATTTCCTTATCAAATAGCTGTTTTTTAACCAAATGACAGTGTGAGAACTAAAAAGTAGAAAAAGATTTATCTTTCTTAAAATCTCAGTAATCATTCAGTGTTACAAGCATAAAAAATAAATGATGTTAATGTCTGAACACTACCAATAACAGCAAGAAGATAACAGTTCTTTTGTAGCTCATAGAGAAAGTTTTCAATTTGACTATTTTGTCATGGGCCATGAATGACCATCCCTCAAGCTATGTCACACAGGAAGTCCGAAATCCAAAGAAATGGCCATTATTGTTGACACAGTGGTATTTAGCTGAATTAAAAGCAGTATGTTATAAGAAGTAGTTACAAAAATAGACTTTCACTAACAATTGTGCAAAAGCTTCCCCCCCCCCCCCCCCCCCCCAGTTTTGAATTTCTGGATCTATATCACACATCCTTTCAGCAAAAGTAGTCTGTTTCGTCATCTTTTTAGGTATTTATGTTCAGGTCATCCTCATCTATCTCTGAGCAAAACTTCTTCAGTTTCTCCTTTCTCCCTGCTCCCAGGGCATCCTATAGCTACAGGATCAGTAGCTATAAGAGAGAGTATCGTCTTAGAAGCGGAAGAAAAGCAATGCACRTTTTCTTGAAAGCCATACGCCTATACTTAAGTTAGGGCACTGAACAATAGGATATGGAACACATCCCTGGATATGTGTCATGCTTATGAGGGCCAACAGGCAGGTGGCACTCCCTTGCAATGAAGCATGCATACCACCCATGAAGGGAGCAGGGCTGACATCAGTACACATGACATTGTCTGATATTAGTATTGCCCCAAGAAATTAAGCAACATCAGTTGGCTGGCTCCCACTGCTAGAACTGAGACCTAACTCTAATGACCACTGCATCCATGGAAAAATTCCCCATGGAATTTTGTTGGCTCTTCATCAGGCCCAGGATAAAATTAAGTTTTGCTTCTTCATTTAGAAAATAGATGAGCATTAGCAGCTTCATCCTATCAGTAGCACCTCCAGTGAGGTGAAAAGAAACCTTAATGATAGCTTGCTGTAGGAGGCAATTTCCATCATAGCATTTTATAACCTCATATATAGCACTTGTGTAATCTCAATTCTTTTGGAAATACAGTTCATGTAGACATCCATAAGACAATTCAGCAGCTATTAACACAAGAAAGCAGACTAATACAAACATACATAGAATGGCTTTTATAAAAGTGCTAAGCAGAATGCATTTTTAACTCTTAGTAGAACTATGCTGCTGATTTAAAAACAAACAATAAAACAATAAACTAAGGATCTCAAACATGCTAACAGTTTATAAGGACACTAGCAGTTGCAAGCGATTAAACACTGGTAGTAGCAAACAGTTATAAAACTCAAAACAGAGTTTTTTTCTAATTTCCAAAATAATCATTTTTTACTGCTCTTTCATATGATTTGTTACTTATAAAATACAGTTATTCTAACATCAAAATACATTTGTGACTAAATAATATACAGTATTAAGAAAATAATTATCTGACATATGTTTGTGGACAAAGATTCTGTATGTCCAGTAGGTTTTATTCTCGGTTTTATTTTAAACCCATAGATATTCCACCTGATGTACTCCTACAGGAATAAGTAACATCCAGGAAGCCATCTCAGAGAATGAGTTTTAGACAAGAATTTTGCAGTTATGTACCTCAATAATTGCGGCAAGAGGTGCTTCAAGAATGCATATAAACCAGGAATTCTTTACATAAATACTCTTAGACTCTTCATTACAGTGGTAAACTGAATTTACATGTTAGACTGAGAAGAAAGTGAGAAGAGCATAAATCATCCTCTTCTCAGAAACAACTCAGAAATATCCTACGCTTGATACTTATTTTCTGTACCTGCTTTGTCAGGAAAGGCTAACATGCAAAGTGGGGTGGAAAAGAGACTAAATAATCTATTTTTTCCCCACTGCTGTCCCCTTGGCAAAAACTTTATCCAGTTATGCTGTGCTTCTGCTGTTGCAAGACTCTTGGTGCAAGTCTTCCCTCAGAGTTACCGAATAACATGCTGAAGGTCATAAGACTGTTACAGGACGTAGCTGCTCCAGCTGTGTTTCCAAGGCAATTCGTTCCTTGTGGACTTCCTGGAGCATGGAGAGAGAGGCACAATGACTTCTGTGACACTGATGAGCATCGTCCTGCATCAGTGAAGAACTGTCTGGTAAACCAACAGCATTTACTAGAAACTCCTTATAGGAATGAAACTCCTTGTTACAAGAATGTAACGCTCCTTGCAGTCTCAAAGCATGGTACAAATACCTGACAGTTGCTCTTCACAGCTGTCTGCTGTCTCTTTTTTCCATATTCGTGCAATATGGAGGTTAAATTGTTTATGTGGCAACAGACAGGAGTAGCAATCTATTGGACTGAGCAGCAGCATAGCTTGGGATGCAGTGAAGGGATTTTTACCCGAAGAAAATGACGCTATTTTTGAAATCACATTTCATAGAATGAAACTCTTCTATTTTGGAAATCAGAAGACTTAGCCTTGCTAAAATGAAATAGGCTTTACCATCTACTTTTATTAACAACTGTAGCAGTAAAAACCTCAGTCTCTGTTGGAAACTGCTAAGGCTTTCATGACCTGTGATCCCAAGAAAGCCTCTCTCCTAACCTCTAGACTTCCCTGTGCTGAGGAGCACCCGTCTTTCCTTGGCCTCCTGGCAAAAGGCTCCCCAGTCCATATGGGAAGCAGGGATGACAAGTGACTCCTAAAAGCACTAATATCCTTATCTGGGCAGACTCAGAGCCCTACCCTGGACACCCAGGCATGGTATGTGTCCTCAGAAGAGGATGTGGGCCTCCATCAGAAAGCTGCCCGTCTTTCAGGGCAAGTTCACCGATGGTGAGATGTTCCCATGAAGTTTTCTGTTTTCCCTTAGAGTAGTAAGGCACCATTTCACTAGAAAATCTCCRGCAATATGACTTAAAAGACAACTTCAGTATTTTGCTCTTGGGTGAACTTGGGCATATCCCTCAGTCTTTCTGTGTCTCCTTCGCCCTAGTGCAAAACACAGCTAATAACACTGGGCTAATTCATGACAACTTGGGAGTGTAAGTGCACTCAAGATAGCGTACCAAGACAGGACTATAGATAATCTGAGCAAAACACACTGTAATGTGCTGTCATTAAAAGTATTCTCTCCATGCTTCTTTCAATCACTGTTCTATATTTTGCTATGATTTCTGTACTGAGCATCTAACCTGCGTCACTCTAGGGATACCCTTGAAAACCAATTCAGAAATTACATTAAAGCGAAGTTGCACATGGAATCAGACTTTCATCTTGACTGAAAAAAAAGTTTAATTGGGGACATCAAAGATAGAGCCTGAGATAAAAAATAAGCAATAATACAGAATAGAAATTTCTCATGACAGATATGCAAAAGAGAGCTAAAGGGAGCTCTCAGCTAAAGGGAGACCAGCTCAATGTAAACTGTTGCAGATTTAAGTAGGGCAGGAGAATGCCAGTTGTCCCATTCCCAGGCCATTCAGAATTGGAAGTGTTGTGRACAGTTACAGATTTACCTCCCAACCCTCCCAATCCTAATATTGTGTGACTGGTGAATGATGTCAGTATCCCTAGAAAGAACTTTATAACATGATTTCACCTCTTTTTCTATACCAGTGTGTTCATAATATGAGAGKGGAAAAATGCCGCAGGAGACAAAAAGTCAAAGGTGTGTAATACCTTTACAATGGGACAACAGAAAAAAAAATGCTCAGATTTATAAGAAAATAGCTCCTTGAGAACACTTCAAAATACAAGCCAGATGGCAACATTAAGAATTAGTCTTAGATGTTCATGTAAAGCATGGTTCAGCCAGACTGTTGTATACTGAATGCCAGACCCCTGGAACCCACGTGCATGTAGCAAAAGTGATGAGAAAAACAACAAAAGCTATGCTCAAGTAGTTTGTTTGCCCTGGTGATACCATCACATTATCTAAACTTTTCAGAAGCATAAAACTACTCTAGCTTGCAAGAGATCACGTGATCGTAGCCTATAGGCACATAAGCTCTTTGTGGAAAGTATCATTCTACCCATATGTTAGCTATTCTTTCTGAAAGCAGGAGGTTTCATCTGGAAAAAAAATGGACAAGATTCTCTGGTAGAGGTGACACACAAGTGATTGCAACCTTGTTTTGTCATTGTGATTTTTCAATGCATTCCTTACCTTCAGTTGCTGCTGGAGCTCACTGTTCAACCTGGCTAGCACAGCATTGGCTTCTTTGTTTTTTCGTATGGCAGTCTGAATAGCCCTTTTCTGCTTGGAAGACTGTCTGCCAGACAGATAAATACAAAACATTTCAATTAGGAGCCTCAATAGCAGCTGATGCCAAAAGACTAAACCATCCATTCTCCATCTCTATACACTCTAGACTACACTTCAAGGACAAGGTACAAACTACAAACCAAAGAAACAAAAAATGTAACAGTGAAATTAGATGGCTGAATGAGGGGGACTGCTTGAACGTAAAATGGTTATACTTGTTAAACTGAATGATATAAACATTCTAGGTTATCTCAATTATTTTAAAAGTACTGGAATCTGATTCAACTTAAGAATAATCCTTACATAGTACTTAGTGCAGAATCTTTGCTTTAGCTCTTTTCAAACAGTAGAGTTTAATGATTCATGAGTGGTTAACAGAAAATATTAAAATAATTTTTTTTGGCAAGTAAGGACATCTGCATGAAAATACTGTCTTAGATTTTTCAAAGCACAGCTGTTTCTACCGCTTGAAAAAATAATCTTTCTTTTTTCAAAGTGATGAATTCCATGAAACCACCTGATGTCATAAACAGAAAAAGGTAGAAGAATTATGGACTTCCCTCTCATCTTTTGCTGCTTAAAGAAGTATTTTTTCCTGTTATTATTACTCTATGGCTCATGGTAAGTGCCTTGGAGCAAATTACCATTATGCAAACAGGTGAAAGAAGGGACAATTCAGTACATAAGGATCAACTTATTCCAATAAACAAGAGTTAACAATAGGAAGAAGGAAAAAAAATACAAAATACCAGCAAGGCTTCCTCCAAATAGACTATTTTTAAGTTTTATAGGAGGCATCAACAAGTCTTTAATGACAGCACAGTCTAATGCCTTACTTAACTCAATAGTGGTAACAGTCCCTGTTAGCTCTTTCTCTAAACAGAGCTGATTGCAGTGATCTTTGCAACAGAACCTCCATTTCTTAGAACAGGCTGGTCTTTATGCTATTATCTTCCAGCAAACCGCTATTATTCTGCTTAACTGTTTTGCTTCAAACCACTCTCCATGGGCTCCACAGTAATAATGATAGATGGAAAAGCGAGGGAGGGAGG